CCTCACTTGAGCATGAGATTTTTGAGCACAGCCCGGTCCTTGTAAGGCCACTTAGCACTTCATCACCACTTGGGGTGTGATAACTTGGAAAGAACTTCGCATGCACCCAAGAAGCAGAGCTACACCATATGAAGCTGAAGCAGTGTTTTGAAGACGATAGGGCTGTACACCAGCACTTCCACTAATGGGAAAAAATAATCCTGGATTTGACTGCAATTTTTTTCTAATGAAACCACAAGCTGCATCTCTGCTGCAGAGCTTGGGCTACTGCTGGCATCCTTCGACATCTACCTCTGCCTGATCACTACCACTCACCCTATCCCCAGAGGGAAAGGAAAGAAATAGGAAAGACAAGTATTTTTCCAGGATTGCATTCCTACAAATTTAAGAGCTTCTGCTAGCTTCTGTAAAGGAAGACTAGCACTTTACACATAAATGGAAAGGTTTTAAAACTGATTTTACTTTGAAATATGACTTTAGAACAGTGCTGTATTATATTCCACAGGTACTTCTCTAGACTTCAAAATCTGCTAACTTGAGTGACACAGACAAGGTTTTCCTTGCAAGCCTGCAAAGGCAGGAAAGCTAAGGAAGAATCAGCCAAATTCACAAGTCATACAGAGAATTGTTCACTAACTTCTAGTGGTGGGGAGACCTGAAAACTCAGCTAACACAGCGGGGTGAGCCAGGTTCACAGGGTCATTAGCAGTACAGCAATGATCTGAAAGAGCCCAGCATGACTCATTTTTCTAAACATTATGTCAAGTTAATAAGGAAGAATGGTTATAGACCAATGTATTTTTTTTTTTGAACTGCATCAAAGTTACAAGGCTGTGGTGACTGCCTGGAAAATCTGCAGCTGTTATGGTGCAGTGATGACATTTTCAATAATCCACCGCTCGGACAGAAGCCAATCACATACGTCTCAAAATTGAAAACTATTTTTTAAGCTTCAGAGTCTACACAGACTCAAAATAAGTTGTGCTATGATGTGACACTTATCCGTCATTTTTTTCCATCTCTGAAGCAAACAGAATATATAAAACAGCAAAAAAAAATTTAAATACTATAAAGCAATCTGTTCAGCTCAATGCTGTAGAAATCTAATGTGCAGCTTAATTTTGAGTACAGAAAGCTTTATTTATACAGAAAGATTTATTAAAAAAAGGCAAGATAAACCACTGGGAAAGGTGAGATATTAAAAGCTGAGTATGCTGGGTTACATTAGACATACATACATTGCAAAACATAAAAAGATCCATACCAAAACAAAACCACCAACTGAACATTCAGAGCGCACAAGTAAGTAGTAAACCAGGCGGTGCCACATTACACCCCTGCACAACCTCTATTAAGCCGCTGTCGGCACCGAACCAGCTCTGGGCAGCAAGAGTGCTGGATCCCAAAGAAACAAAGGAGCTGGGGGCTCCTCGACCTCCCCACTCGGGCAGCCACGCGCAGGCGCACGGAAAACGCCCCGACTCGCCGCAGAGCTGCCCGGGCTCGGTCGGGGCCGGCGGCTGCAGGGCAGACGCCTTTGCTGCCCGGTGCCCGTATTCTGCTCCCGGCCACGATCACCTGCAAGGATTTCAGACTCAAGGACGTTCGCTTGCCCAGTTTTTTCTGGAAATGTTATATTCAGGATTGCAGGCGTGAACAGTATGAAATAGGGGAGCTGGGCTCAAAAATGAAAGGATGTGAAACTCCTTAAACCCAAGAATGACTGGATCCCCGGCCAAACACAAGAATACTGCTAGACTGACTTCACTTAAATACCAATAACTGGCTTTTTTAAGGGAAGCCAACACAAACAGCACTTTTGATTCATTACTCAAATGGCAAAATATGAAATTCATAAGATTCATTATTCAAACGTGTCTGCTATCATCCTAAACAGAAAACGCTACTAGAAAAGAACTTTAAAAATGCTTCCCCAGACTCCCAGTGCCCATTTGTACAAAAATTTTAGGATGTATCAGACACACTGAGGTTTCGAGGTGCAACCTTGAGCCTCTCCTGGCAGCTCCAGGCCGAGATCACCAGGCAGATACGGGGCTGAGGGAGGTCAGAGCGAGGACTGCAGGCTCCAGCCGTGTGGAAACCTGCCCCGCACGCCCCTGTCTCACGTGTCCAGGCCAAGGGGCGTTTACGGAGTGGCAGAAGAGAGAACCGCAGTTATCCCCTCCAGGCTTCCGGTTCACCTCATTTGCCGCGTTTTGGGATCTTTCCAAAGTAGATAAGTGGGATTCCTGCCTGGAGGGATGAAGGAATGCCATTTTCCCATCCTTTAGGAGCCAGTGCAGGTGCAACTGGGAACTGCAGCAACGTGCAAAGGATGATTAAAGAAGGTGCCTGAAACAATCTCGGGGTTGTACGAGTCTCTTCTCACCAAGGCTTCCCACAGTTATCTTCAGATTTCATGTTATTACATATTCACAGACACGAGCAAGGTATCAGCATCCTGCCGTTATCCCAAATCAGGGCTGCTTTTCCCTAGCCATGTCAGGGCTAAAGCTGTACTTTTCTGGTAGCCTTTGGGATCCTTTCCTGGCCCAGATTCAGTGAGTGAGACTTTTCCTCCAGCCAGCAGCTGGGATGTAGACCCAAACTGCGGAAGTTGATACCTGCCTCCCAATTCTCCTCCTCCAGCCAAGCTCTTGACGGACACCGGTTTCCCCTTTCCTTCGTTTTCTTGTCACCTTCTCACTGTCCAAAAGACATGTTAGAAATATACATCTTTCCTTTCGGAAAAATCACTCCTAAGTCTTTCAGAGATGTCCTAGACAATCTTTTCCATGGCCCCTCTGGGCTCATCAGTTATGTAGTGTCTGGAAGGACGATGAGAAGCCAAACTCCTGCGGGAGTGAAATGAGGGCATTCATGCAGCGGCGAGAACAGCTCGGGAGGATGCTCCTCCAGCCGGGGCCGCTGCCACCATCCCACCCTTCCAGGAAGCACAACGGAGCTCTGTTCTAATGTGCAGGCAGGAGTCGAGAAACATCTGCTCTACTCCTATTTGGAAAATGAAAGATAATGTGACAATAAAAGCTAGATGATTTAATGTCCGAGCTCAGTTAAACTTCTCCGTGCTGCTGGGCTCCCCCTTTCCCGTCCTTCCCCGCTGCGAAGCTGCCTGTGCAAATCCACAGCCCAGAGACAGACGCCCAGCAAGGACTTGGAAAATGCAGAAACACAAGCCCAAAATCTGAAGCAGAGCTGAAACAGTCGTCACCAGTCCCTGTCCCCACTAACATCATCCATCCCTCTGCACTCCTCTGGGTGCACTGCTGCCACATGCCGCTCAGGGGGCAACAGGAGCCGAGCTCTTCCAGCTCGTGGCCTCTTTCTATTAAATCACAACAGTTTAATCCAGATTTACACTAGAAGTGAATACTATAATGGACTTCTAATGGCAAAGGGAGATATTAAAAACAATCGCAAGACTTTTTCATAGTTATTTTGCAGGGAGGACCCAGGCATTAGGATCCACAGCAAATTGAGACAGGAATCTCATGTGAACCTTGACCACGGTGGTGAATAAACTGATTTCTTTTCTTTTTCCAGAGTTGCTGTTCTGTTGAACTTCACGTGAACTTATTAATTGTGGGACTATATCGTCCCGCTGAGTTATTACATTTACACTGTTAATAGGTTCTATTAATGTCCGAGTTCATCTTCGGGCCGTGGGTCACTGGCTGAGGCATGGTTCGCAGCGCCGCGGCCTATTTCTCATGAAAGGCTTATTAAGAGAGACAGAGACTATCAATGTTGCTGCCATTTGCTCTTCAAGAATCTAATGAGGTCATTAGTCGCTGTGTTTAATTGAAGTGACAAATGCAGGCAGGGAAGATGAAGAATGCGTTCGAGCTCCTCGTCGCGCGGAGATGTGGCACCCATTGCTCTGCCCTGTTTATTTTGGACGCCGCGTTTGCGGGGAGGGAGGCGGCACTCCCGGGCTCACCGGCAACACGAGCGCAGGGCTCCGGTACCTCCAGAACAGCCGGTGCCCGGTGCGCACAAGATGCCCGTTCTCTTTGCTTAGATGACACTGGAAGCTTCTAGTGCCTGAAACCAGACGGTTGCAATAGATTATGCAATGTTGGTTATTTCTGCAGATCAGGCTCAAATACAATATTGTATTTGTTCTGAATCCACAGCCTATGATACTACTGCACTCTTAACATTTGCTGCAGAAGAGAGAACTGCCTGAATCTCAGAGGAAATGTGCTTTTTTAAAATCTTATATTCTACATATATTAAATGTCTCTTGAGCAAAGTTTTGCGAATTGTTACAGAGACTGGTGTCCTACACAGCTGCCTGCCTTCACGAGCAACAGCACATAAAGACAAATCTAACTTTTTATTGCTAATCTTGAACCACACAGACTTTCATCTCACAATGCAGTACATTGTTTTATACACAGCTCCTTTTTTTCTCCCCTTTGGCGAGATAAGGATCTATGATTTTTACAATGTTTTTATTATACACTGAACTTTCTTACGACAATATTTCTCACTATAAAGTCAGCTCTGATATTGTATCAGATCAGTGTAACACAAAGTACACATAGCCCTAGGACACAAGCTGTAACGCAAGAGAAAATGATTTAGATGCAAGAGATACAATGTGGGGGATCTGGGGCTGTAAACGCTGAGCTGCAGAGAAGTTTCTCAAAACCAGCACCGCACATTCACATCTAGCATGAATCCATCACAGACATCATATAAAATTACTCTGAGAACATTTATATAAAATTACACTGAGAACATTTATGTATCTGTATGCGCCTAATAAATCTAAATATAGACTGCACTTCATTCGGACTCCGTCACATGCTCCCAACATTTAATAACGCAGTCCAGTGCCTCCAGGGCAAGGGAGGAGGCGAAGAAGTTCTTGTTTCCTGTTTCACAGATACTTTCACCTCTAGGTATTTGTTCCAGAAGGATACTAATCAGAGCAAGTGATTTAAAAAAAATCCTTTAATGTTTACAATTATATATCAGCTAATGTAAAGAACTCAGGGCTGCTTGCCAAATAGCTTTTTTTTTTTTATGTATTTCAGCAAGTTTGAAAATGCAAAAGCAAGCCTCAATCATCAAGTCCTATTATCCAGCGTATTGAAAACTTATTTCACTTTTTAAGACTGGAATTAGGCAGAAACTATTTTAAATAAATGAGGGGTGCCAAAAAAAAAAAAAAGGCATCTTTGTTATAAGTAAAAAAAGCAGCTTTGTTATAAGTAACCCCTTGCTCTTAGCCAAGACCTGCTTGGTGGTTTACTGCTCCCAGAGCCAGGTCTAGGCTAACTCCAAAAAAACATAAATTTAAAGACAACATAGACCAACACCGAAAGGCAAAATGCCACAGAAAACTGACCAAACAAAACACACCATGGAAGAAAAGGCATCAAGAAAAGGTGCAAAGCGCATTGGAGAAGCTGGAGTGAGCACAAGGCCGACTGCAATGTTAAGTCGCCTTCGCTCTGCCACAGGCAGCGCCATGGCGACGGGGCAGCGAGGGCCGGGCCCCTGAGGCGCAGGCACCAAACTGCCCACACAGAGAGCCATGACACGAGCTGGCGCTCGGGAGCTCACCCAAGCCGGCCTCAGAAACGCCAGAAAGGCAACGGGAAGAGCCGCGAGCCCGGCTTCTTCGAACGAGACGCGAGAGGCGCCGATTTGGACGTGCAGGCTCCACATCTGAAACAGCTTACAGCGTTTCCACATTCTTGCGGGGTGTTGTAATTCAGGGGGCTTGTGCCCCGCAACCTTGTAGATGTGAATAAGCAACAGCTTGCAGTAAATTCAGAACAAACTCATTTCCAAGAATGAAAAGCTTTCCCACAAATACAACCTTCCAGGCGCTCCAGCATCCCGTGATGCCTGGCTGAAGGGTTTGCAACCAAGTGCCAAAACCGTCATGCACAAAAACAGGAAAAAGGACTATTTAAACACCAATAAAAGAAAGATAATGTATGTCATACTTGTTTACAAAATCCAAAGAGCATCTTCTCTTTGCTTTAGATGAATGTTTCAGAGTTAAACGACTTTATGTTTATGTGTAGGTATATATGTATGTATATATAGTATGTATGTATATATGTGTAGGTATATGCAGATATACCTACACATCTGCAGAAATATACGCTCTATGTACGTATATAAATATCTATAGTGACATTAACCATGACTATGATTAGCTTATTAGCCTAGCTATTGTATTACAGCATTTGAATAACAAAATAATACACTAATTTCAAACTAAGTACATAAGAACATTATTAGTTTTACTAATTACTTCTCCAGAGATACAAGCAAGACTGATTGTATTTATCTTGTTAATTAATAAGAAAATGGTTTACTAATTACTCTCTTGTTCTGGTGCAAGACTTCTAAATGGATAGTATGACTTACATAACTTTTCATTAATAAAAACACACAGGAAAAGAATGAACCATTTTTATTATGACGTGGGCTCAGCTTGCAGGACTTGTGGCTGGGAAAGACACCTTAGATGGCAAAGATGAGCAGAGGAATCACCTATTAGCAATGTAACATTTTATTTTAGGCTAAAAGAGCGCTGCAAAAGCAGTAGGCAATGATTTGCACAGAAGTGCCTCAGATAATTACTCCTAAACATCCACAGGTATTTTTCAAACCTCGCTATCTGATTTGGATGATTTATATTTTCTTTGCCTATTTTGAAAGGATTATGAGTGTGGCAAATTATCAGATGAGTGGTTTAGTTTTTATTAATTTTCCTAAAGTAGGCTTATGTTGGTATTACAAAAGGCTCTGTTTTCTTTTAAACTCAGATATTTCTTTTCAAATTAAACTGTAACATTAATAAATAATTTTCTTATGTTCCACACAGCACGCAAATACGTTAAGCAAAACCTCCTACTACTAATATCCCCACAAAACTTCACCACCGGGGTATGTTTCACACAGACTCTAGCAACTGCCTTCAAAGTGCTCAGGAAGCTACTGCTGCTCTGCTTGCTTGGGCCATGCTCAGCAGACGTGTTAAGCAGCCGTATGAAGTGCTGGAAATCCATCTATTGTGAGGCTAAAACTGAGGGAGCTTTAACTAACCAGAGAGGATGTCCAAGCAGACTGTGAGATCTCATGTGCTGAGCTACAGCGTTTTGTGAAATTACTTCAAGAACAGTTGCAAAGACCAAACAGCTTCTCAGTATTTTTTCTCAGACACTTTATGTAGGTGCATGTGCCTCTCTTACCAAAGGATTTGCAAAGAGCACCAGTGGTGCTGGGTGTGCTGTGATGTGTTACTTTGGTGTGATCAGGAGGGAAACACCTTTGACCACAGCAGTTCTGTTCTTTGGGCATCCTGCAAGGCTCTGAGCAGAGAGGTAGGACAAACTGACACATTACAGAGGAAAACAGAACGCACCATCAGAATGGGCTACTGCCAGCATATGATATACAGCTTGTTTTGTCTTCTTGAAAACCAAAAACAACAACAAAAAACATAACTAGGTATTCTATTGCCTGAAATATCTGGAAAATAGATTAAGCATCTCACTTTGCCAACTGCCAGTCCTTCAAGGTGAAGCTAATCTTTGTGCTTATGCACTATAAAATACGCAACTTACTCTAGCACGGAATGAGTTGCAGCCTGGGGGTGGTAGCGGTACAGCAGGAGGCAACGGTCAACACGGAAGACGTCACCGCCCTTTTCGATGTGCTTATAAAAAAACAGCAAATCTTCTGGAACGCCCTGCAAGTGAAGCAGATATTTCAAACCAAGAAGCAACTACCATTCCTTGTACATCAGGCTGCATTTGAGTTCACATTTCACTTCCCTGATGACTGTCTAAGGTTTAACATCATTTTATTCAAATTCTTTGTACGTCATGCCGTGCCATGAACTTACCCCATGGGTCATTGTATAGATATATGTACAGAAAATATAAAGCTAATAAAAAAACAGTCAGGGCTGTTGCAAAAGGAAGCACAGCTGAGCACACGGACAGACGTGAAAAATAAACATCATCTCATTCTGACAGGGTATAAGGCTTGACACAGGTTCATCTCAAAATGCATAAATTCAAAAGCTTAACAGTTCATAAAGCCTAAAATGCCAAAGTAACCCAATTCTTTCCTGAAGGGAAGCAGTGATTTCAGAAGAGTGAGGGTTTTTGCTTTAATAGAATTCATGCTCTTTGGTTGCCATACAGAAGCATGCACCAGTCTTCCAAAATAAGGTATATTAACCTTAACAAAAAGCCTCAGAATGATTCAAGCTCTATGAACAAAACTTCTTTTTTCCTTGCCACTTTCTTCTATGCATCATTCTTCCTAGTGGTAACCTCTAGGAAACATTAGAAATCTCAGGAGCATATGGAAACATTTCCAATCTAAGTCCTATGGTCATCTGGACAAAGATGTAGTGCCAGAAACCAATCACATAGCACACAGTATTCACTTGCATCTCATACATACCAAAGTAGAAATCCACCTTCAAGGACCCTGCCCTACACTAAAGGTGAAAAGCAGCACTTGTAAACATTTTACAATGCCCAAACTTCTTGAAAAATTACAGTGTGGCTAGAAGAGTCGATTTTCAAATATTTAAATTCTTTCTTCTTTCTTTCCTCAAACCCACTGTTTAAAAAGTCACATGAATTCATCAGGTTAAAAATCTTTGATATGAGAACTCAGGAGTGCCAACTGAAATACTTAAGAATAGCATCAATAAAAACTGAAATGTAAAAACTAACTTAAAAGTATATGTGCTTGAGAAGCAAAGGTACAGGGAGCCAGGGAAATACATTTACTTCTGCAGGCAATATCATATACATGAATGTGAACAGAGGCATAAACCTCAACCTCATCAGTAGGTAGTCTATTTTGACACAAAAAGATAATGAAAGTACAAGCTAAATTAAAAACCAACCAAACACTTGAATTGTTTTCCCCATTACAGCCTCTGAGTGTTTTCCATAATTAAGAAAAGGAGATTCTCTAATTGAAGCACTGGACACAAATTCATTCTGTGGTTTCTTCTGGCCTTTCAGTTCCATCCAGAAGAGGACAGTTCTGGGCCTGCTTTTCATACCCACCCGCCACACTTGGTGCTCGGCTCAGACACCGTCGGGACTGAGCGGCCAGAGGGGAGCGGTGGGAAAGACAAAAAAGGCTTTGAACCTGGGAAAAAATTCCAAGCAATTGAACATACATATTTTGGAAGAAAACAGAAGCAAATTGAGCTCTGGAGTTTGCAGCTCCACACTTCACTATGCAAGATTGATTTAAGACCCTGAATTCGTCGAGGGTCCCAAATTCTGATATAAAACGGATTCTGATCTGGCTGCTTGGCAAGGGCAGCTTATCTGCAATTAATCTTTCTCTTTGTAGTTACTTGACTGATTTCTACTTCAAGAGCTCTGACGCAGAAGAAAACTTTTACACAACTATGTAAAATTTATGCTTTATATGAACCTGCTTTGATGGTCACAGAAGGAATCTGA